ATTACTTTTAATGACTAGGTTGACCTACTTACCCTTTGGGTTGCTAACCACAGGTCAGCAGTTCAAAACCACCAGCCACTCAGAAGGAGAAAGAGGTTTCTATTCCTTTTAATGACTAGGTTGACCTAGTTACCCTTTGGGTTGCTAACCACAGGTCAGCAGTTCAAAACCACCAGCCACTCAGAAGGAGAAAGAGAAGGGTTCTATTCCTCTAGTGACAGTCCTGGGAAAGGGTCACGGGGTCTGAATCTATTTGATGGTAGTGAGTTTGGAGTTTGGGTAACCTCAAAGACCCCGGGTGCTGTAATGGGTTTCACCTTGGGCTGCTAGTCACAAGGCCATCGGTTCGAACTCACCAGCCACTCTGTGAAAGATAAGCGGGCCTGCTCCCAAAGAGATTCAGTCTCAGACACCCAGGGCAGTTCCACTCTGTGCCATGTGGTCACTGGGAGGCTGTTGGTTTTCCCTGGGTTCTCACCATAGGTAGTAAGCACTTGGCCCAGAAGTACCTTACAAGAGGGCCTTTGGGTGGCGACGTTTCTGGTATCAGGTGTGCCCCAGAGTATTTGGGGAGCCCTCACATTTATCTAACAGTTGGCTCAACATAAAATTCTAAGCTCAATGTTCTTTTTTGTCGGCCCCCAAACCACGTGACTCCTCAGGCCGGGCTGTCCCATGGGGCCGGCCCTGTGGGCGCTGGCTCTGCTCAATCTCATGGGAGCTTTTCCGAATGGCCTGTCTCGGTCGGTCGGAAATCTCACTGCCCAGCAGTGAAGAGGGTGTATTTGGAACGGCCGCGTGCGTGCGTGCACTGGGCCTGTCCCGCAGTGTTTCTGGCTGACCCTCATAGACTGTACCATCCACCTGACGCTCGAGTACATCGGTGATTGTTGCTGGCTGCTCTCAAGGGGGTTCCAGCTCACAGTGACCCATATGGACAACAGAACGAAGCACTGCCCAGTCCTGCACCACCCTCGTCATCGCGCCCACTGTCAATCCAGCTTGCCGAGGTCTTCGTCTTCTTCCCCACCCTACTTCACGAGCAAGATGCCCTTCTCCAGGGACTGATGCTTCTGATACCATGTCCAAAGCACGTGAGGTGAATTCTCCCCGTCATAGCTTCTAGGGAGCAAGCCGGCTGTTCTTCTACCAACACAGATTGGTGCGTCCCTCCAAGACTTGAAGTCCGTGGTACTTTCAATGCTCTGCACCAACATCATTAGAGGTGCAGACATATGGCAGAATTGTGAGAAAAAGCAAAGAAGTGATACACCCCGATGTCTGGGTAGTATCTACTTTTGGGGGTGTGGGGTGTATGTGCATTAGGAAAGGAGCCCACAGGAGCTCGGAAGTCCTGGGAATGTGCTTTTTGATATGAGGGTAGGGACAGAGCATTCCATTACTGCTGTTAGCTGCCATCCAACTGGCCTCAACTCATGGCAGCCCCAGGCAGTAGGGGACAGACTACTGTGATCTATAGGGCTTTCTATGGCTGGGTTTCAGAAAAAAAGATCACCAGGCCTTTCTTCCTAGTCCCTCGAGTCAGGAAGCTCCAATGAAAACTTTTCAACATCACAGCAACCCAAGCCTGCGCTGACAAGCGCCTGGGTACAAGGCTGTTATCGGCTAGAAGTCATACCCAGCTCTCCTGCTGGGACGTGAAAGTCCTACCGCTGCACCACCAAGGCTTCATTATTACCATCAATCCTCGATGAGGCTTGTGTGTGTGCATTAAATATTTCATCATTGAAAGAGCACTCCATGACTGGCTCCTGGAGGTGGAGTGGTTACATGTGGGGCTGCTAACTGCAAGGTCAGCAGTGTGAAACCACCAGCCAGCTCCTCGGGAGATAGAGGAAGCTTTCCACTCCTAGAGTCACAGGCTTGGACACTCACCAGAGGAGGTCTACCCTGTTCTAGTGTCGCCGTGGGTCAGAATTGACTCGATGGTGGTGGGGACTGGTGTGTGGGGGGCACATACGTTATCAGAGGGGGTGGGCCACAGATCCTGCAGCTTGGTCCCTCACTCCCAAGATGGCTGGAGGAAGACCCGGGCTAGAGATGGGAATAGGATGGGTCTAAATATGCTCTACATTGCAAACTACCTTGAAGTCCCTCCGGACCACCCAACAAGGAGGCTCTACTTGATGGTGCCTCCTCTGCCTGAACTGGGTTGCCCCCCCAAGCTGCCTGCAGGGGCTGCTCCGCACTACTCATCGCTCAGTCTTGCCTGGCCCATGCGGGACACTCCACTGGCTGGAAGGGGCCCCAGACGCCTCTGCCACAGGGAGCACGCAGGCATGTCTCTAGCCTCCAGATACCGTGCAGGCAGGGCCTTCAAACTTCACCCCCATGCTGCCAGCACCTGAGGTCCCCCCCACCCCCACCCCAGTAGCTTCCCGGGCCCCGTCAGCTTTGGTTCTCAAGCCGTGAGCCCTGACCACACCTGCACACCCACCTGTAAGCTTGCCACTGGCCTCCAACAACTTGGACTGCAATTCTCTCCGAGCACAGGCAAAGGAGGAGGCCTGGGAACAGCAACACTGTGTCCAGGAGAGCTTTTATTTGTACGGAACAGTTTTAAAAATACAGAATAAAATAGCTTTGTCTCTACTATTATTCACAACATCTGGTCCAAATAGTACATAGTTTTAAAATACTTAAACGTTTAATGAAGCCATGTTAGAAAAACAATATGAAAATTCGTTTTTTAAAAACTCCATAAAAGAATTACACATCTCAAAACAAAATAAAACAAAAACCCCATCCCGAATACCCAGTAAGCAAAAAGAAAAAAAGGGACCCCCCCCAACCCCCCCCGCAAAAAAAACCATCCCAGAAATGTTGATAGCCAAAGTCAGTCACAAAAAACTCAAGGAAAAGAGAGGCATCCTACTGTTTTAAGAACAGTCAGAACTTATTAATGTGCCGAACAAATGTGGGAATTGGTACTGTCGGGAGAGATGGAGGCACTGGTCAGGATGTCCCACGTGCCTGGAAACACACACACACACACACACACACACACAACTGCAAGTCTAAGGATGCTGGAGGTGATGTCGAGGAATGGGGGGAGGCATGGCCAGGCATCGACTAAGCGGGCAGGAATGTTTCTGAGGCTGCTGAAGGGGGCTCCCCCAGTCCCATTCACATGCTCCAAGAGGCCACAGGCTATAGCTGAACACTGGTGAAACGGGTTGGCCTTCTTGCACTACTCTGGTCCTTGACTGGGTGGAGGGTGGGACAGATCCTACTGGCCAAGTCCATCGCATCAGGGGACAGGGCACCGCACACGGGAGGCCCAAGGCTCTTTTCTAAAGCCGAAAACAAGCTCCGTGGATGGCCAGGCATGTGTGCCATACACCGCCGCCGCCACCAGGGGGCAACGCCGGCCGTGCACACGGGGACCCCAGCAACAGGGGAGAAACTGCAAGCTGGCTCAGCCACAGCCGCCAGCAGCAGTGGTGTCCGCCAGGTCCAGCAGCCTGCAGGGCACCGCCTCCGCACTGGCCAGGAAGGCTCTGGAATGAGGCCAATCACAGCTCCTTAGTCGTCTACTATCCGGCCCGGCCACGCTCGTGGCATAAATATGACTTCAGGTTATACTTGAAGACTTGGCATCTAACTGCTAGTACCAATATTTCCGCAGGGACAAGAGTTAGGAAGTAACAACTTAGCTCTCGGTAATAAAATATACGCAATGGGTAAATAAAGTATACACACATACTAGAGATTCATCAATGGAGAAATTCTATCATCACATGACATTGTCATGAAAATTATATCATTCCCCCCCTGGAAAACTGTGACTATTATCCCGGGCAGAAATGTTATTTTAGCATATGGAAATACTGCAATATTCATGCATAAACCAAGTTGCGGTCATGAGTCAGTATTCTACAGTATATAAAGCAAAATCCTGGGTGTGAATTTGTCTTCATGAAAGAGGGAAAGCGCGGGGCCCCACGACATTCGAGCCGAGGTGTTAAACTGCTTCTCTTGCCCTTGATCCATCAGAAAACTTCCTGAACCTTGCCATCTGAAACCCTTCATTAAAAACTGCGTGCAGATTTTCTACCCCAAGTTTAACTCTCTCATGAGGATGAAAATCGCTTCCAAAGACTGGAGCCATGACCTAGTATTCTGTGAACCGTGTCAGACAAATATTTTATCAGAGCTGGTGGTGGGGTCTCCTCCACAACCCTGCTGTGAATACAAACAATTCCTACTTGCCACCCCAGGACTGTCAACGAAATATTCTCTTCTGGGCCCAGGCAGACCTACGAAGACGGTGGGAAGATGGCCAATGGAAATCGGACACTGAAAGGACATGCGAATTCACAATATTTTAGAACGTTCTATTGGCCAAACAAAGCATGGCCCGTGGGTGACCCAGAGAAGCAGACCAGCAGACTGATGGGTACTGTGACAGGGTCCTGCGCCCTCTCATCCTCCCCCACCTCCGGGGGCTCCATGAAACCCGAGAATCAGATGGACACCTTTACGCCCCCTTTCAAGAGCACACTCTCCTTGTCCAGCATGTGCATGAGCAGGAGGGACCCGCTCCCCAGAACGGCTCGTGAGCGTGCTGCCTGTGTAGGATGGCTCATTCCAAGACTTCACTGGCACCAGCCACGTTTCACAGGCAGAGCAGAAAGCACCAGCTCATGAAGTGCTCTAGCCAGGCTGCCCCCCGTCCTGGGACAGAGAAGCTACTCTTCGCCTCAATAGCACGACAGTCAGGGTGGGTGTGGGGCTTCTTGTCACATGA